CTTTATTTTGAATTTATTATCTTATCAATTTCATTACTCGATTCTGTGGGTTTATTGTTAAATTTGATTAAATTCAAAAACTATGTTAGTTTTTGAAAAAAATAAAGAATCGAGTAAAACGTTAGTTACAATTCATAAGAAAAAGATTCAGTACAATAAATTAATATCATCCCAGAGAATTACTGAGGCAAAAACAAAAAGGTTTTAAAAATTTAATTTATAAATTATGACAATAGAATAGAGGTATTACTCCAAATCATCAAAAGTTAAGGAACGAGGAATGTAATTACTATCCAACATTCTAGCTCTATGAATTGGTTCAGTGGATGGGACTTTTAATTTATTTGGAGTAGCATTAATTACAACAAGTCTCTTTCTGACTTCATCCAGTTCTTCTTTGGTTTTAATATCATCGAACGCATGAAGTGCTCTTCTCCACTTTCTTACTTGACCATCCCAAGACCTTTTAGAACAAGACTGATGAATATCAGGAGTTTTAGGGTCTCCACGAATTCTTTCAGAAACTGGAACAAATTTTACATAATTAGCATATCCTTCAGTAACTTTTCCATAGGAAACTTGTTTATGTCTAGTATCTAATTTCTTTGGGTCTTCCTCTGATTTAATAATTCTTTTACAAGGAGTTTTATAAGGGACTTCTGACTTCTCAGAAAGAGCACAAATAACAGCAAGAGGGAGAGTGTATGGGACAGCAGAAGGTTTAAATGAAAGAAGATCACTAATTGAGTAAATGTACTGTTTTCTAGATTTATATGGCTCTGCATCTAATACAAGTGATGGCCTATTAATGGTAACAGTTTTATTAACAGCCACTCTTGGTACATTAGGTTGAATAGTTCGAAATGCACGTCTCAAAGGTTGAGTTGAAGAACTCATGACTGAATCGAACTAACAATTCTTTGGGCAACTATTTATATCTCACAATCTTATTATTATCAGATCTAGGGTTTGTTTCATTATTTTTACAAGAAAGAGAAAAAATTTTGTTTTTCCTTTTATATTTTTTGTTAACAAGACGGCATTAACAAGAGTATCATATAAACCACCTTTAGCCTTTGGGGAGACTTTTAAGTGAGACATAAACAATACCTTATCTCAGATAGTTATTGTTGTTAATTGATTTCTTAGATGGTAATTTATTAGATTTTGCAAGGGGTTTCTCTTCGAGGTTTTCGTTATAAAAATTTCCCTTTTCATATCTGTTTTGGATAGCGTCGATTGTCACGCATTTCAAATTGATAGTTTAAGGAAAACTATTAAAAAACTATAAAGTATAGTTTTTTTTCTTATCAACTTTTTTAATTTTTTTACTTTTTAAAAAAAAGAAAAAATACATTACTTGATATAATGAAACGAAAAGACAAACATATATATATGGTAGTAAGACTTGTGAAGAAAAATTAGGAAAATGGCTAGGCTTGTGCTTATATATGATACTTATGAACCCACAGTCAACGTGTTAATGAAAAAGGAAATGTTCAATGTCAGTTCAAAAAAATTTGTACTTTTTGAACCGTTTGACTTAGCGAATGATAATGAACTTGATATATCTCAAGAATTACGTGTTAATGAAGACAGATCAACCCAAAGCGCTAAGTTATTTGAAATTAAAACAGACGAAAAACCAATTCCATTCTTTAAAAACACAAAACCACCGTTTGAAGGAATTGCAACTGCCTGTGTAAAAAAGTTGAGCCAGATTTATAAACTTCATTTTGACTATATTTTTATCAGAAGGGCTGAAAAAATAGAGGGGTTATTTCCATTTATTGATAGGATGTTAGACAGTGGTAAGACAGTTGTTGTCTGTGGTGTTATTTCCTATAAGTTAAAAGAGAATAAAGCCTTGTTTTCGTTAATCCCTTATGCATCGAAAGTTTGTATAAAAAGAACAAATTGTACTTTTTGTAATGTCAAATCAACATATATTTTCAAAGAAAATGAGACATCGATAATTCCATTATGCAGAGAGTGTTTGAAACACCGACGCCCATTGAATAATATGTCAATACTGGATTTTGTTTCCAAAAAATCAGAAGTAAATTCATGTGAAGAGAAGAAGGTTAAAAAGTCTAAATCAAATATCAAAGAATAATTTAGTTTAATCATAAATTTACTTTTTTAATTTTTCTATCTCTTTTTAATGTTTCTGTTATGAGTCATTTATTTTTAAAAAAATAATCTCTCACTTCGAATCTTAGTTTAAAAGAAGCTTCTTTAATGTAGAATTGAAAAAACTGTAAAAAAACTTCGATAAATTATTTTTTTAGTAGATTTATATTTATGAGAATGATAAAATAACTTCTCAAGAAGTGGAAGTTCAATTAAAAAAAAGTAAAAAAGACTTTTGAAAATTTCATTATTTGACTATTGCCGTTATAGTTTGATTTAAGAATGTATCGTTACTATTTTGTTTAGTTATTATTTAAAAAAAACAAAACATTACCTAAATAATAAATAATATATTGGATAAACAAGTCAATGCCCAAATTTTGATTCGTCTATATCAGGTGTTTGACATGGGCTTGGAGTATCACTACAAACAAATTCCGAATTTTTGAGTTGGGAAGAAAAACGTTTAAGGCAAGCCGTTTGAGGGGTTTTTCGATTAAACACTAAAGAAGATCTTTTTGTTGATTGATGTTTAATAGAAATTGTGCCAGGATACATTCTGCTCATTCAAGAATGAAATAACCTTAAAGAGTTCTAGAAATAGTACTTAAGTAATGACAGTTGTAGAAAAACTAGTTACAGAAATATATTTAATATTTAGAGATTTTTCTATAGAAAAATCTATTTAAAAGAAAAAAGGGAAGAAGAAATTTAGTAAATACTTAACATTACTAATTGCGATTTGTCTCAAAAAAAAAACTTAATAATGAATCAATTCATTCCTATACTCAATAAATCAATAACTTGTTCAATGTTATATCTTTCTGAAGGATTTTGTTTCCAACAATTTTGGATAATCAAAAAATACCATTCAGGCATTCCAGAAGCGATTTCTAATCTATTCCCTTGCATAACATATTCCGCAATATTCCATGGATATTTAAATACATTCTCTGGATAAGGACGGTCCCATTTAAATGTTTCATACATCAATATAGAGAAAGAAAAAATATCTGCTGATTCAGTGTATTTCTCTTGGTTCAATACTTCAGGTGCCATATAAATAGGCGTGCCAACTCCCTTAGTAAAGGTCATATTTGCTTTCATTGAATTAATATTTCTTGATGAGCCAAAGTCTGTTAACTTAGCATTAACTTCAATTCCATCATCTAATGAGAAAATTAAAACATTGTCTGGTTTGATATCACGGTGAATAATTCCATTAAAATGAAGATATTGAATTCCTTTAGCTGCGTCAATGACTAATTTCATTCTCATATGTTCATTTGGTTTTGAGTGTTTTTTTATTAATGATTGTAACGAACCCATATCTGCATATTCTGTAACGAGGCAAATTTTTGTTGGAATAAATACTGCGCCATAGAAATGAACAATATACTCACATCTGAATTTATCTAACATTGTAACTTCTTTATTAAATTCTTCCATTGCATCTTCATCATCTCCCATTTTCATTTTCTTAATAGCAACTTTATTTCCTTGAAATGTTCCTTTGAAAACAACTCCAAATGACCCTTCTCCAATTTGTTTTTCTTCTTGAATCTCATCATAGTCAAGTCTAGTAGACACAACAGTGGCTGCATATATTTGAATACTCTCGGTTGTTCTTTTATTATTTTTTAAATCAAATAATGTTATTTGAAGTCGTTCTTTGATAGTACAAGTACATAATGGTGTAATATATATTTCAGCTTCAAACGCTTCACCTTTTTTCAAAGTTATTTGTTCAGGATTACATCGTAATGTATATTTACTATCAATTTCATCTACAGTCATAAAGGTAAGTTGAATTGTTCTATTATATCCATTTCCAATACAAATAATGTCTCGTGACTCTTCATTGACTGGTAATTCATTTCCATCTTTTTCATATCCACCACATCCAAAATTTGCTAATCTTTTATTTACAAGAATTTGACATCTACCACTTAATGGAATCCATTCTATATTTGATTTGTTCATTTGGAAGTGTGAAACCTGATTTTTTTGTTCTTTAATAACATGTTTTATACTAATTCTTTTAATCGTTTTTCTAACAATAAATATAATAAGTACAATAAATATAATAAAGAATATTATTCCTCCAATAATCACCAATACA